TCTATTTCACCTTTGTCACATCACATGACAATTCAAATACAGGTAATTTTTTAAAAAAACACATACAAAAAACACACAATTAAACATGAGACAGTATTAAAATAATCAATACTAGACTGAAACATTGGCTGAAATCTGTAATGTTTGGAAGCAAATTGTCATAAATTAAGAAATCTCTCCATTGCATATTGAGTCACATGACTCGTGTAACAAATAATGGTGACAAAGATTTCTTAAAGTATTGCAAATCACATCTAAAAGTTATACAATTTTGCTACTGCGCAGCAGGATTTCAGCCACTGAATCAATGAAATTTACATAAGCATTGACGTAATTATTCCAATTCATTTATTGGATCTACTCTAGCTGAGATTAAAAACTGAATTAAGCACTTACTGTTTTGTGTGCTGTTCTGCAATTATATTTCTGAAATCTCTCTGATTTCCAGATTAGCCTTCTTGCAATCCTTCTAAATATCTAATGACATTTTTACTCACTTCTTACTTTACTTGTGCCTTCTGTCTTGTATACCAATTCTATGGCATGTCTTTCTCCATAGGGGAAAAAAACAATAAAACCTGATATTCAGATAAGCTCTACATCTCATTTTATGCAGCAGTTAAATCTACTGGCTGAAATCTGCAGTAACTGTCCCTTCCAAACTCCCAAAACTCAGTGGCTGTGAGTGTGGACATACAGATAAATAAAAGCTATCTCCACATCCTAGTGCCTAACAGGAATTGTATATTAGCATATAACCTTTAAGTGTGATTATAAAAGTGCTTAAAACATTTTTCTTCTCTTTATGACCTTCTTCTTAAGTGCTTGTTTTTTTGTTTCCCATTGAATAGCAGTTCAAGTTCTGCATTATCTATGTCTTGATTCACTTATTTTCGTATTTCCTTCAGCTATACAGTACATCACACCAGCATGTCAGAAATTATGCACAAATCTGAAAAAATAACAAATATGACAACGTTTGCTGTGTTTGGTTCTCCTTAGTGCCATATAACAGTGCCACAACCAAGCACACCTGACCTTGTACAAAATGTGACCTGAGGGAGAAGTCCATGGAAAGTGCCATGGAAAGGAAAGGAAAACATTGCCAATAATGAACAGCTAACTGTTTCTGGAGCTTAGAATTATGGCCATTGTCTACAAAAATATTCATGGTTTCCAGTTGGGTGACCGCATTTTAAAAGTAAATGACTAATACAGTGGTGCCTCGACTTACAAAATTAAACCGTATTGAAACGGTGTCCATAACTCGAAATTTTCATAAGTTGAAACACCATTTCCCATTGAAAATGCATGGGAACGGGATTAATCTGTTCCAGCACTTCAAAAAAATACAAAAAATAAAAATAAAAAATTTAAAGCACATAGAAAGTTCTGTTGGAAGGCCCTGGAGCTTTAAAAAGAACAACAACCAAAAATAAACAGAGCAAGTCCCAAAGGCTGCAAAAAAACCAACAACACCATAAACAAATAACACAGCACAGAAACATAACCCCCCTCAGTCAAAACCCACCCTGCAAAACCCACCCAGAAGTTTCTAAAAAGGAAAAAGCAGCACCTTACAAGGCAGACTGAAGCCTCCTCCAATGGCACTCAAACCCCGGCAGGGAGCCTCCTCCTGTGCCGCTGCAGTACACCCCATCCATGGAGGAGCCCCTCCGACCCATGCACCTCATCCCTGCCCAGTGCCTTTGGCTGCCCTTACTCATGAGTAGACCTATGCCAGGGATGGGCAGGAAGCGCACCAGCTTCCTGCACCACATGGCGATCCGGAGCCGCCCTGCCTCTCCTTCCTGCACTAGCTTCCTGCGCCACATGGCGATCCGGAACCGCCCTCCCTCTCCTTCCTCCTCCTGTGCTGCAGGAGTAAAAAAGTTCCTTGATCTCCTGCTCTAACCATTGGGCGAAAGAGCTACAAGAAGCAGCCTCTTTACCCCAATGGTTTGAATTTCCCACCTTTCCCCCCTGCCTTTTTCCATTCTTAGGTCAAAGCTCCGCTCGCAAGTCAAAGCAAAATTTTGCGAGCAGAGCTGCTCGTAAGTCGAAATGTTCGTAGGTAGGGGCATTTGTAAGTCGAGGCAGCACTGTACTACTGTGTAGATATATAGAACAGTTTAACATTCATTCCTGTATTTATTATAGTGAAATTTGGTAGAGTATCCACCTCGCTTAACATACTTGACTAAGCAGTCCTTCTCACTATTCCTTGATTGATATCTGATGTTACTTCAATTTGTTTCACTTGACTGGGACTTCTAGCTTCTGCAAAACCATGCAAATAGCATTTGGTGCAATGTCTTATGTCAACTGGAGAAATTGACATGGGATGATTTATTTTCAGCATGTCACAGTAACTATATTCTTCACAGCTAATGTATTACAGTAAGGCTCATTCAGTACTTAGTTTCTAGAAAAAGGAGTGCATCGTTGCGCTCATATTTTGTGTGAGGTGTTGATCTATGGCCTGAATTTCTTTGCTTCGGGAGGTATAGTTTCTACCATAAATTATTGCTTTCACCCAAAAGTCTCTCCCCAAATCTCTGTGCTTTTGGAAATGCAGAAACTCTTCGGCCAGAACCTGATTGAGGGAAGATGGAGTGAAGTGACTCCAATGAGTTTCCTTCCATATGCATGATCTTGTGCTGGTTGCTGGATTGGTCATGTCAGTGGTCACACCAGAGATGGCATAAAAGGGAGTCTGCTGGAGCAGAAAAAACTGCTGTATGATTGTCCTTATGTGCATGTTTCCCATAACAGGAATCTAGCCACAGACATAAATAATGGGAAAATAAATTCCATCTTTCTTGGAGAACTTAAGTTGAGAGGAAAATCTGTAAAAGGCACTGTATAATTAACAAAGCAAACAGTGAAGAGCAACATTAACCTTTGGGCTCAGTAAAGAAAGCAGAGCAAATTCCCCAGGCCAGTTCTGTCTGAGTCTCTTAAGGAGACTACACCCACCAGTAAATAAAAGGATGTTGTTATTTAAGCCTGTTTCTTTAAGAGACAGGCCTACATGCTATTGCTGATGAGTTGCTTAAAGTTATCCACTGGGAAACATTCTAGGGTCAGATACATGTTATCAAAAGCAAGTTTTACCCAAAGAGGTATA